GGACAGAGCAAAGAGCAAAACAGCACGGCTGTGACATCCCCTCCCAAATGTCCTCCAGGAGTGGTCTGAGCACACATTGAAGGCACAGGGACCAAGCCAGTCTGTGCTGAGAGGCTGTCTATGGGGGGGAGCACTGGACGTGGAGCATACCAGCCTATTACCTGTAGTGACAAGGAGAGTTCTGCTTACTCTAAATCAGTGGAAGAGAGGACAGGAGTCGCAGTTTCTATTGCCAGCATTACCCAGACAGAAATACCCCGTGCCTCAGTTCCCCACCTAAAAAATGCACGTGCACCTAGCAAATACCCTGGGCCCAGTCAGCTCAGGGCATCTCCTGAAAATCCAAGAGAAAAATGCTGCTTTGATACTAGGAGATACCGAAAATTTATGACCATCAGAACATGCCGCCACTACTTATTTACCCAGTTCCCTCCAGCCTAAGGGGTCTCATTAGTACCAGGGAAGACATTTGCACTAATTCCAGATAAGTATCAGCTTTTCCTTATAAAATATGATTTGGAAAGAAAGATGAAGTCAAAGGATGCAAACAGAACAGTTAGCTATTGATGGGTCAGTCTGTATTTCCATTTATTTGACTGGCTGCAGAAGGATTAAGAGGTGAACAGCACTGGATTGCTTTCCACTACGTTCACTGCAGCTGTTTGCAAACCTTTTCTGGCTAAGGATGCTCCAGACTTCAGCTCCACTGACCTCCGAGGAAGTAAAAGACACAAACTGCAATCAGCTCTCTGCGTCTCTTGATTCAGTCAATACTGAGCTAAAAATCTTTCTATTCTGGGCACCGGCAGCATTTCCTCGTAGCGTACGCCTGCCATGTGCCGTAACACTTGCAAACACCGTGTACAGCCGTGAATGGGAGTTACACAAATGCAAAACATGGATTTGCCTTCCTGTCCCTGCCTCACCCCGGGGTGCGCGCCTGGCCCAGCTCTCACCTCCCGAAACAGCAGTCAGCATTCCCAGCAACAGCCCCAAGCAATTCCCTGATGAAGAATCAAGCCAGGAAACGGAGTAATATATTCCAAGTTATTTTTTTAGATTTTTGGGGTGGGTTTATGAAATCCCACTGTATTCACGGCCCTTTCCCCCCCGCCTTACACCAGCGCTGTCCTCTCCGGAGGGTCAGAGTTTTAACAGTGAAGCAGATGAAGAGCAGCCCTGCTGAGGTGAGCAAGGAGCCCACCCAGCACTCGGTGCACAGAGTAGGAGATGGCTGCAGGAGAGCTCTCAGCTCTAGTCCAGCCTAAGGACTTGAGTGGTGTGTGCTGGGAGGCCATCAAGGTAAATTTTCACGGCCTCTGTCGCAGAGAATGACACGTGGCCACTTACTGCTGAGCATCCCCTTATGGTCAGCGGAAAGTGGAATCAGCAAGAAATGGCCTTGCCATCGCCAGTCCTGGGTGGTGGCTTGACACCTACTGACATGCAGGGAGAGGCGAGCGGAGCCCGCAGAGGATGTGAGCCGAGTTTTGCTACCCCTGCACAAAGGAAGCGCTGGACAAAAATCAATGTCGCTGCCCACCGATCGTTACAACCTCCGGGCCCTGGCCCTTGCTGCGAGAGGGGAGGGTTGGTGCCTCACGTGAACCCCACGCAGCTCCTTGCCTGCCAGCCTGCTCAGATGCCTTTTGGTGTCTTGTTATCCTTTCTCTTCAGGTTTTAATTATTTTTATGTAACAGGTGGTTTCTCGTAGGAGCCTGGCTTTCCAGCAGAGAAGTTCTTATGGTGACTATATTGCTTTCTTAGGTGTCTTTCAAAACAGCAGGGTACTGTCCGTGCAGTTAAACTAACGTTGCTCAGAATTAAGCACAGCCCGGCGGGACGCCTGCCCTGTTCAGACAACTGAAATCAAAATTAAAGACACACAAGCATCCCCCTGTGCTTAAGGCAGCCAGACAAGAGGGAGCTGGACCGTGTCCCCGTGCGGGGCATCGCGGCGGGCAGGCAGAGGAGGAGAGTCCTGGAGCAAGTCAGGACCTGTAAGACAGCAAGTGCTTGCTCCAAGGCTGTGCCAGCGCCGAGGAGGCATTGCGTAGCTCGCAGGATCACACGCTACGGTTGTAACAACTTTGAGCAGCACTCAGAGAGAGTTCTGCAAAAGGAGGCGTCTGGGGGATTGCAGGAATCATTTGGAGGATCGCCTTTTCTGTTTGACAGCAATTCTAGTCACATCTGGCTGCTCCTTTCTGGTTGGGAAGCGTTTTGCTGGTTATTAAAGTCAAGGGTTTTGCTTTTTCCACAGTTTCTGAACCTTGTCCTATTCACGTCAATGCCTTTCTGGCAGGGTGACCTGAAAAATGAATTGTACTTTCCTTCCCGGCAGGGCAGGGGGAGTGGCGGGAGCC